GCCACAACCTTGGCACGAGTATTGGTTCGTATTGGGGTTCCGACCGTCTGGCTAATCTTGTCTACTCTCTCTCATCTCCGTGGGCAAATCCACACCCTTATATACAACCGAGAACTCCATCGTTTCTCTGTTTATTCTCCCCTGGTTCCCATTCCTAATCCATTCACATCTCCTGATCAACTATACCCCGCTTTTCCCTCTTTCCGTTTCCTTCTCTCCACTTCTGTTAACTTCCTATTTACCCGGCTCATTGACCAATCACTGATCCTTCTCCTGACCATGTGTTCGGTAATCCCTCTCCAGTTCCGACCTCTCCTCTCCTTACATTGGTCCAGAACATGTGCGAGAACCTTCTACCTCTCTTATAAATCAAACTGTAAGCATGACAAATGAAATGACAAAGTCTCCAAGAACTGCGGACAGACTTCCGCTGCTTCCTTTGAAGGATCTCAGGCAACTCTATGATCAGGTGGAGTACCGGTGATTTACAACAGATATGGCGCTAGGCAGAAAGGATTTATTCATACCATCCGTAAGTTTTTCTAAAGTGTGTCCATAGAAATCATCTTCTGCGAGTTACAGGTAGTGGAGGCGACGGAGGGGCTTGTTTTTGTTGGAAGAAAATGTTTCCCGATTGTTATGGACACAACCGTGCATAATACCCTGCTCGGTGGACTTGGTCCCCAGTGGGTTAGGATCAAATACTACCATTTACTTGGGTACGGCGCTGGGGGGTTCACGCTCTCCTACTTGTGCGGGTAGGTTCTCGAGTATTACGAATGCTACTAGCATAAGCAATAGCACCTTTGAAGCTTCTCACCAAACACCGAATGCTTTAGTCCATAACATCTCCAGGAAGAGTTCCCCATGTTCCCACAAGCGCCCGCCTGGCACCCAACGCTATAGCTTATGATCCGTGATATATATAGAATTACACTACTCTGATTAGCGGACTGGGGACACCAAGTGATTATCCCGGCTGCGAGTATCTTTGTGGGCATCCAACTTCGACTGAGGAACTAGAGTACCGGTATGGTAGTTTACGGCAGCGTTGCTTTCAACTTGAGTGCGAGATGAAAAATGGTCTGTACCGCTTACCCTGGCCAAGTGGGAGCTGCAGTGGGCACAATACCCGGTTGCGTGTAAAGTGCTTACACCAAAACCCAGACCGGGAAAGAAATTCGATCATTGCTGAAAATGTGAGCATAGGAGTTGGCCTACCGGCACTCGAATACCGTAATGGTTGCCTTGCAGTTGTGCAGATAGATACTAGGCATGCAGTTGCCTTTCTTGTGTATAAGCGTCGGGAGCTGACAGCCCCGCTCTTGGTGGGCTTAAAAGAAAAATTCAGCTGAATACCGCCCATACCCTGCAGTTGCTATATTCCACCACATCTTTGAATCCCCAGTGAAAAGAAATAACTATAAAGTAAGACAACCATCAGCAACTGCCTACCTTAGGGTCAAACAGCTGGCTTGGATTGATCCATCATTTACCAAAAATAGCGAGCTATAATAGCTTCATCTTTGCACCTCGGCTCCCAGATCGACAACGACCGGGACCACGGTAATGACAGCCGATCTCCTTGACCGCCAGTGTCTTGGCCCTCATTCACCTCGGCGCGAAGGTTTACCAGCTTTGCGATGACTACGGCGATGTGGTCAAGGAGAGCGAACAAGATTGTAAGAAACTGGGATATGAGATTAGGGCTTTCGACCAACAGCTGAAGGAAATTCAAAGCCTTGCGAAACAAGGCGATGTGAACAATCCGCAATACCCTAAGCTACTTGAACGGACGAGAGGAAAAAGTTTGAAAGATTATACAGCAGCCCTGGAAATGCTTGTGGCCAAATTAAAGGTTCCGGGATGGAGGAAATCATCGCGGAAGGTGCTTTGGCCTTTTCGCAAACCGAAAATAGAGCGCTGCCTGGGTTTGGTGGAAGATTAGAGATCGAAACTGCATCTTTTGCTAACCATAGCGACAATGTAGGTTATCCATTTTTCCATCGCTGAGAATCTTCTCCGCCTCAGTTTCGTTTTTGTAGCATGACCAACCAGTTGTTCAGGAAAACGGTAACTAAGGTGTTGCGAAAACTAAACGGTACATGGTCACCTTATCCCTAACCCTGACAATTTTTCTCTTTACTAATACCAGATATCACTAACCCCTAGAGAAGGAACTCCGAGAAGCACAGAGGTGGCTCAACATTGTCGATCCAGCCTCTAATTACTCATCGCCACTGGCTGTTCGTGAACCGGGTACTGGAGGTTGGCTGCTCGAGGGACCAGAGTCCATGGATTGGAAGGAAGACAGAGGGGGGGTTCCCTGGCTCCATGGTATATGTATGTCTAGAGACGAGTGCAACATTATGCTCCGAAGAATGTCACTAATATTTGTGTCCTCTAGCCGGATGTGGCAAGAGTGTACTGGGGTGCGAACATAACCGGGTATCCAGAGGTGCAATATGACTTCTTTAATGCTAACTTACTCTTTAGCGCTACGGCTATTGAAGATGTCCAACATCTGTGCAACGCGAACGATGATTATGCATTAGCTTATTTTCACTCCACCTTCAGCGACTCCGAGAAGCAGGAATTGCACAATATGCTCCTATCCCTTATTAGCCAACTTCCAAAAATGCCCTCGGATCGGGGTTTGCCGGGTGGGGTTGTAGATCTCTACAATAGCACCAAGGCAATTGGAATGCCGGCGGGTATCACAGCTCCGGAGGATCTGCTGTCGCATATTGTAAACTGTTTCAGGAAGTCATTTGTTGTTCTCGATGCCTTGGATGAATTCCCCAAAAACACACGAGAGAGTCTCCTATCTTGGATTGGTGAGCTTACCGCTGATCATAAGGTTGGCTCACTCTCGGTTCTCGTCACGAGCCGTCCGGAGGCCGATATGGTGCGATCACTAGGACTACTAGCCGCTTTTCCAATACCGCTACAATCTAAAATTGTCGATCAGGATATTCGGACATATGTCCAGAAATCTCTGGGCGGCAAGGATGGCTTCAAGAAATTTACGAAAGAAATAAAGAATTAGATAGAGGACACAATAGTTTCTCATTCGCAGGGAATGTATGTTATGCTCTGCTATGCAGATTTTGATTCATGCTGATACAAGGGTGGGGGTGTTGAGGTTCCGATGGGTAGATAGTCTTCTGCAAATCCTACAGGAATCCATAACACCAGGAGAGGTGAGAACTGCCTCGGGAGACCTTGCTAAAGACTTGGATTCTGTCTACTTGCGGATCCTGGAAAGCATCCACGAGAAGCAGCGGGAATATATTCGGCGAGCGATGCATTGGCTCGCATTTTCCGCAGAACCCTTGACGTTAGACCAGCTTGCGGAGGCCGTCGTGATCCAATCCCCCCAGGAAAACAGGTGATTACGACTGGCACATTTCTCGGTAAAGGAATATTTGATCTCCGGCCGGGCAGCTCAGGGCCCTAGTGCCTACTATCATATTCTGGAGGAAAAAGCCAATTTATTAATAGGGCACGCTTGCCTTAGTCGAATACTGCAACATAGTACACAAAGGGCTATACAGTGGAAAAAAGTTGCGGAAACATCATTTCTCTACCATAGTGCTCACTATTGGTTTGTATATACCCGATTTAATGAGGATACGGTACCCACACCACTCTCCGAGGCGGCAGTGAAGGTTCTCAAGCTTGGCAAGGTCTGGTTAGATGTATATAATCCCGACGACTCTTACTACAGCTCTAGGATTTACCCACTAGCAATTTACTATTCCTCATTGTTAAATTTAGTGATGGCCTGTAAATTCCTAGTCAATAGAAAAGCAGATACAGTAAACGTCAATGCTCAGGGTGGTTGGTATGGCAATGCACTACAAGCTACAGCAAACAATGGAAACGAATCGGTTGTGCGGCTTCTCCGCAAGCGTGGGGCAGCGGTGAATGCGCAGGGTGGCCATTATGGTAATGCACTCCAAGCAGCTCCGGCAAATGGAAACGAATTGGTTGTGCGGCTTCTCCTCGAGTATGGGACAGAGGTGAATGCACAGGCTGGCGTGTATGGCAATGCACTCCTAGTAGCTGCAGCAAATGGAAACGAGTCGGTTGTGCGGCTTCTCCTCGTGCGTGGGGCGGAGATGAATGCGCAGGGTGGTGCGTATGGCAATGCACGCCAAGCAGCTAAATCACGATGTCATGAATTGATTGTGCAGCTTCTCTTCAGACACGGGGCAATTCCTAATGTAGGGGCTCGTTCAGAGCATGGAGGTACAGTCACTAGACCAAAGTCTTGGTGATGGCTTAGTCAGCAATGGCACATGAAAACACAATACCACCCAAGCGAGCCCTTTCACTTTACACTACCCTCCCAACAACCATAATATTCTTTTCTGAAAAAGCTAGGATGCCACTCCAAGAAAGGTCAGATACTGTAAAAGGAATTATAATTTGGTCTCTTATGTATCTTGTAAATTATTTCCACTAATGACAAGCATGTTAGATTGCTTTCTGTTAGCCATCCAAGTCCTGTTTCCATGATGCACAGTTATTGACAATTCCATGTTTTCTTATACAACTATTCAAGCATAGATACATGGATCTTATATCTTGAGCTTGGTGTCCTAGCTAGGGCTTCATGGACAGTATGAGTAACTATATCTGTTAGCTTTCCTGGGAATTGCTCAGTGTTGGCACAGTGGATGATGACTGTTAAGATGATGAATAAAGGGGGGGTATCTGAAGATCTAGTAGAATTTATAAGGTTTTATTCTTGATTCGTCATTTTTATCTTTGCTATTAATTCATGATTTATTTTTTCCTGCTGTTGCCCTACAGTAGCTATTTAGCTCATACAATACTAGTATCTACCGGTACCCATTCAGCGCACACACTTTGTCTCACCTGGAGCGATTACCAAGACTTTTGTCTAGTGACTGTAGCTCAACCACCTAGAACCCTTTCAATTGTTCCACCACTCGAAAATTCTATCCCTACAGTTGCCACCGGCCCTCGAAATTCCCCCTTTCCTATCCTATATTCACTATCTCCTTCTCTTACCGGTGTTTCATAAGACTATCACAAGAAATCCCCATTCCTACTTATACATGCCGCACTCCCGGCATTCTAACGCCCCACACCCGTAATCTGTTACGCACCTCCAAACAAAAACAGCTACTCATTTCCCCAATCCCATATATCCTTCTGCCGCCGGCTCCCCCGCCCGGCTTCCGCCACTATTTTCCAAATTTTGTATCACCTTATGCCGAGTTCATTCGAATATACAAACCCGGATCTAGGACCCTCGCTACTTTTCTGACTTCTCCACACCCACTATCTCTTGGTGTCCTTTATTCCACACCTAGCCTAACACCGTCAACACCCACTTAGACCATATTACAGAAGCAGCTGGCGCACACCAAATGTTCTAACTTAAACCTTTGGCGTCAACTGACTCTGGTTCGACCCGTCGCTCCATTGTCATTACTACCCGCCTTTCAGATGAAAACTACCTATCTCGTGGATGGTATATTGTGGGGTTCACAGATAGATCAACACTTACCTTCAATATCCAAAGCTGTCAAGTGACCCCGATGGAAGGAGCCACTGGATGGGGACTGCGCTGGAGGCTGTAGGAAGTGATGAAAGGAGTTTGGAAGGGTAGGGAAGTGCCAAGTGGCGTTACCAATTTATTTGTTAGATAGTTGGGTCTGGTCTCAGGTTTTGGAGTTCCAATTCCTTTTTTCTATATTTCTTAGCCACCCCTCACCTTCTTCTCCTTATTGGAATAAGGCTTTGGTTATAGTTTTTTGGGGGGCGACAGTTAGAGAAAAAGCCCCGGTTCGCTCTTTGGAGATGGATTGTTTGTGATCCCGTTTCGTTAGTTATTTTTCTTTTGCCTCCTGGTATATTCCCCCACCAACACGTGAAACATCCATTAGCCATTGGGGCTAGTACCTGGACATGTGAGTATCATATTAGATATTATCATACATAGAAACTTCCCTCAAAGTACCGTAGCAAGTCCTCTTGGTGCCAATTATGACAACAGGAGTAAACAGATCTGCACCAAGCCCAGAAATTTGTCCCCAAGAGCATAAAATGAGAGGGAGTGGTCTGACCTAAGGTGGATGAAACCTTGGCCTAGCAGGACGTGATCCCAAAACCTACAAAGTGGGATAACTCAGGGAACCATTTCGGTCTGCATGTGGAAACAACTTCTAGATATATGCAGCAGCTGTACTGAGTCGGATGGAACATAGGTTGCTGTTTTGTCACTGGGAAGTATAAGAGCAGGGAGGATTATCACTCTGATGGTAGCTCAGGAATGAGTGTCGGAAGTTTTATTCCATTTCCACCCTGTTTAAATTTGATCTTTACTAATTTCCCACTACTTTGTTCATTCCCTATGGCGTTTGATTGATCAAATTTTGAATTGAGTATGGGGCCTGCTTCGCATGCCCTGGTTCCGGTATTGGCTCCATATCAATAGAACAAGTCTGTATTTTGTGAGGTACTGGGATTTTGGTGCAGACAGCTTTAGTTCCTTACTTTGTGAGTAGTGATGGGCACGATCATGATCGAGCAGATCATAGGTGTTCTGCTCGAGCATAATCTGATTGAGAGGACCCCATGATCGAATGATCGAGCAAATTGGGAGACCCTGATCGAGTGATCGAGCAGTGATCGAGCATACTTGAGTCTAGCTGATCATCATTTCCTTTTTCATGTAAAAATATTGCCTTCAACCGCGGGTGCTCTGATGGAACACTTTGCAAGAGTGTTAGTCAAAGGCTATCCATGGGCCATTAAAGCAGTATTTGGTAGCCGTTGTCGGTGGAATTCCAACCACTCGATAATATCTATATTCCGGTCTACCCCCGGCTCTTGGAAGTGGATATCAACTTGGGATTTCATGAGATCATTGTCTAGAGCAAGGGGATTTTAGACAAGTGAATTGGTGGGTCAGGCGTGTTGGGGGTTCGGTGGTGGGGTGAATTATCAGGGGCATGATATTGAGTGTGTGGTGCAGACAATGATTATATTAATAGATATCGTGTCATTTCCAGGACAGATATATGTATAGGTATTGATAGAGTCATCGATCATGATCGATCATGATCGAACATGGTCGAGCAGTACCGCTACTCGAGCAACTCAAGCAGATCATGAGGGTCCTGCTCGAGCATAATCTGATCGAGTAACCCTTATGATCGAGGGTGATCGAGCATGACCTGCTCGAGCAAAACTCGATCATGATCTGATCGTGGCCATCACTATTTGTGAGCCCCGGATATTCGGCTCCCGATCAAGGATAGGCTCCAATGCTTGGCGATCAGCAGTTCCTCATTTTTTAATTGAAAGTCCTGCAGGACACCAATTGTAACCAGCATTCCATCAGGACACTTTGGTTGTCCCATGCCTGTAAGGGTGGGAGCAAATTCATTTATCTCTGGTTTCTAGCTGGGTCCCCATTCATGGTAATAAAAGATTTAGATTTAATGATGTACCCTGTGTAACTCGGGTTTGGGGAACCCATAACTTTAGCGCTGGATTCATAAAGTTCAAAATCCCGAGGTGACCTTCTGGCTGGTAGAATAGACAGCAGAATAGAGAGAGCACTAGAGGTATCAAACCAAAAGTAGTTGATTGTTTGGGTTGCTCAAGAGCCGATGTCATATCATTCATTTATCCTAAGATTATGGATGAGGGACAGAGCCAGCCACAGTTGAGGAATACGGGAAAGAGAAATCTCTAGAGTAGGAGGTCAAGGGAGGTTTGATTTGGGTGTATTTTTGGATATCAGGCTTTGGAAGGATTGGGACTAAGTTAAGCGACAAGCAGAAATTAGAGGTTTAATAGTTCGTATCTGATAACTTACTGTGGGAAAAAGCAGTTGATAACCGTGACTGCACTTGGTGCGGGACGTGCTCATACATGGTGGCTTCAGCAGTATATGTCCGCACCACTGAAGTATGCGTAAGCTATGAAAAGGTTTTTCATCCTTGTGTTTACTTTCCTTTTGTTCTCTCTTACATGACAACCACTTCCTGTAATTTACCTTTCTTGTTACGTTCTTCCTTTCGGTCATCTCAGAGCAATATATCATGCTCTTCCTCTTTACCTGAGTAAATCCTGATATCTCTACTCCAATTATTCTATTCCAGGACGTAAACTCTCAATACCGATCCTGACCTCTACATTAATCATTTTGCAACACTTACAGTATGAGTAATCGGTGTATGACTCCGCATGATCGCGATAAGTACTACCATACTTTATTCAATGTTTCTGTTGAAGGATTGGTCCTCAATGTATTGCAAATCAGCAGCACTCTGCTTAATTACTATATTTTTGTATTCTTATCTGCAATGTGATAGATTTCTCTAGACATTTGAATCTCTGGTCCTTTTTCAATTGTATTCCATATAGGTTATTTGGGAAGCAAGTTGAAATGTTCAAGAAATTCTCACCTATAGCTATAACATGGATTGATATCTTAGAGGAATAGAACATATCCCACGTTGTGACTGAAGGGAGGATTGTTGTTTCACAAAGAGGGGCTAGAAGGAGTTGAGAGAATCCTGAAGCACATATGCAATAGAAGGGGAGGGCAGGGCTAGGTTGATTACCTGGGTAGGGGCCTGAAACGAATGGTGAATATGGGAAAGAAGTGGTTTTGCCAGAGTTCATAAGGGTACAAGCTCACGAGTGAAGAAGCAACCTGCGAGAGGTTAATATCAATAAGAGAACTAGAATTAAACTCTGACTTGGGGCCAGAAAGAAAAGCTTCCAGTGCACTTACAGATATGGTCTGATTGAGGTTCATGGTGCCACATACGA